GTATTACTGCTGATGAATTATCTGAAAAAAGTGGTTTCGATGTCTATATACCGGATCTATTTAATGGAGATGGGATTGCTCCATCATTTCGAGAAGGTACACCAGAAGTTCCTGGAGAAACAATGTCTATTGGTACTAGAGTAAGTTGTAGATACTAAATTACTATCCATTCAAAAATACAATGGACTCGATTGTAATTTGAAGTACTCGAGAACGCAAGTAGTTAGAGATCTGCGATTTTCAGCATTCAAAAGAGAATAATAATTTTTTTTATTAAACAACATAAAAATATGATTGGAACATTTTGAAAACGAAATTCTGAAGATATTTCTCATTGGGTTTTGAACGTTGACATGATCATTCGATAGAAAAAATTGAGCTCTTTCGATCTACACAAAGCCGAGGTCTCTATCTTATTTCGTTCAAAAGGTATAAGAGTTTTCCTGAGACATCCGGTTTTGGCTAATTGTCATTGGATAATCGAAGAATAGGTCTTGGGAGAGGTAATTGACCATGCTGAGTCGAATGATGATATTTATTTCCATTTGCAAAGTGATTTGAAATCACTATATTGAAATTTATACATTTCAAATTTTTCTGCTATGTATCGTAAAGAGGCGATATTTCAAAAATCTCGATACAGTACTTTCAGATTACTTTGCAACTGAAAATAAATATCACCATTCGATTCAGCATGGTCCATTACCCCTCCACGGACTTATTCACCGATTGTCCAATGACAATGAGCCAAAATCGGGGTCTCAGAAAAACCCCTATAACTTTCGAAGGAAATAAGATAGAGATCTTGGCTTTGCGTACATCGAAAGAGCTCAATTTTTTCTATCGAATTATCATAACAAAGTTCAAAATCCAATGAGAAATATCTTCGAAATTTCGTTTTCAAAACGTTCATCAAGAATTCACCTGATTGGTCAGTTGTCTACCAATCATATTTTTATGTCGTTTAGTAAAAAAAAATATTATTCTCTTCTGAATGCTGGAAATCCCAGATCTCTAGCTGCTTTCGTTCTCGAGTTATTCAAGTTACAACCGAGTCCATTGTATTTTTGAATGGATCGAGTAATTACTGAGAAAATTGCCTTGCTCTATTTAGATTTCCTTTGCTGGAAAATTTGTAACGACCCTTGCTCCCTGGTTATTTCGTCATCGGCAAGCTGTCACTCTTCCCATTGTGGATAAATTCTTCAAAGTAAATAATTATATTACTACTTTCTTTTTTCTCTCTAACAAACATTTATAAATAGACTCTTCGTTCGGAAAATGGAGTTACCAGAATACAAGCAGTTGGTTATTGTTTTGGTGGTCTCTATGCATTATTAGCTGGCAGCAAGGAACATCATCTTGCAGATGTTGTTGTTGGTTGTCATGTCTCACTGACCAATAGAACGAACTATGAACAGTTGGATGTACCTGTGGCATTTGTTTGTGCACAAGAAGACTATCAATTTACGGATGCTCTTCGAGCAGAAGCAGAACAGATTCTCTCGCGTAAATCAGAAATACCCAGTAAGTTTCTATTAACAGAAGGAACTGTTCATGGATTTGCAGTCCGACCCAATCCTAACAATCCAGTCCTTATGAAAGCATACAAACAAGCCAATGATTTCATCGTAGAATGGGCCAAAACTTATCTTTAATACTTATATTCATTCATTATTGCTGCGAACTATTTTTCGAAGACATTTTAGTCAGTTTTTGTAAGAAAAATAATATTCTAAATGCATATAGAATATATTGTTAAAGATCGGCTAAGCATGGATATACTGGGTCTCACTTTCAATAATTTCTAGTGTGATAGTGAAATAACGATCGATTTTAAATATAAGGCAACTACGATAATGTCAGAGGCATATACATCCAAGTCTTTACCAGATTTTTAGTGTTAAATATTGAAAAGAAACTGAAACAATGACTTTTTGAGTGCATTGATGTATTTGTAAACAACATAGACTAACCATTTCAAATAAATATTTGATTTTATGACATTTATCTTTGTGCCTCATTATGTCAATCACACAGAATTCAACTGAATGACAATCTTACATTATTCCGTTTCGATATATGAAATAGATAGAGCGTTGCAGTATAAACGATTGAGTGAATCTTTTTAAATGAAAAAGTAACTCTATTTAATCGATAATCATATTGTTAGTTGACTCTATTGATGATGACTGTACAAATGTTTGTATATTCATGCAATGTCAGGATAATAATCAACATCACTATATGAAACAAAATATTTGACGAGAAAAAGTCCATTGATAATGTGATTTTTGCAATGGGTAAACATCGAAATCCTGAATTCCGAATTCTATAGAATTCCAAAGAATTTTGTAACATATCATAGAAAATTCATAGAATTCAAGAATTCCACCATTTACCCTTGGATTTTTGTGAATTTCACGACTTTTCTTCAACAAATTGATGTCAACATCTGATGAAATACAGTAAAAAGAAGTATTGTTCAAGAATCGTGGACACTATTTGGCATGTATATATGTAGATCCAATTCTTCATACAAATATGATTTGATGATGATGATTATGTATGACGAACTGAAGGAGTAACTCTATCACCACCCTCGATATGATGTTTATTGAGCTACTTCATCACTTCAGTTGTGACTATATCATTATGAACACATTCTTATATACTAGTCACACAAGAGAAAAGGTATAGAGAAACATATTTCGTCAAGATCAACATTGCAAGATAAGTGTAACGGTCAATAACCGTTACAATATGTATAAGATATTGTTGAAATTATTTTTGATTTCATATTTCTTGTTATTAAAATTGAATTCATCGGATTTCTGATTCATAGGAATACAAACAAGCTTCAAATTTATCGTGCTTTCGTTATATATTCTAGAATAAATTGAAAATTTATAACTAATCATTATAGGATAGAAATTCTAGAAACCATAATGATTATTACTCATCTAAGAATGTGAGTGTAGATATGTCTTCTAGTTCATATCCATACCCACACCCATTAAATTAATAGATGAGGTTCATAATCACTAAATATTAGATTATTATATCAATATAATTAGAAGAAAGGGTGTGGATGTAACAGAGAGAAGTGAATATCAATACTCACATCCTACAAATTTTTATTCATATCTTCACAACTTTTTGACACACTTGAAATCTAGTACCATCTGCTTCAATACAGCATTTGACCTTTTTTCTATTAGTAGCCAATCACAAACAATACAAAAGATTTCGAGAAATCTTGTAGAACTTTTTCTACTAATCATTTTTGGTAAAAAAATTTCAATTTTCATCAAAAAAGGACGGTACTAGAATCAAAATATTAAAAAGCCTTATATTACTCCTGGAATCCAGAGCTGCCGATCTTTTCTAGTATTTTGACCCTAACACTGTCATTTGATCATGAAGATAGAATTTATTTTTATTAAAATAAACAGCAAAACAAGCTCTACATAATAGGATATGTCAACAAGTTTTTTGAGTCTTTTATATTTTTTTTCGTTGGCTACTTGTGGAAAAATATCTTGCCAATAAGTGACTGTAATCGACAGAACTTTTTGAGAATTATCTGTGTAAGAACATCCGAGAAGGTTCTATGAAGTCGTCAAAACAGTCAGATAGACTATGAAAAACTCAAATTTTTCAAATAAATTATTTAAAAGATTCAGAAAATTCAAGAACATAAAGTATTCGAATCATATAGAAGTCGAAAATCTATCATATACCGCACATAACTGTAAGTTTTTCTCTTTTAACTCGGTAATAAAAGTCTTAGTCGATGTTACTAAATTTTTTACTTATCAAAAAAAACACCTTGGAGCTTTCCTCTATTGTCAGAAAACGTATTAGTTCATTTGATCAAAATTCGATGTAGATATATAAATCTTTTTTTTGCTTAATGATCTTCTGAAAACCCTATAGCAAGGGGGCAACAATCAGTGTTGAAAATGATTGATAATTCAGGACCTGATTTAAAATGAATCTAGATTAAAAAAAAACTGAAAAATAGTCAAAAAGATGCCGATAAATTGTCACATTGTGGTCCATAAAAAGGAATACCTCTTCATAGAGATTCGAACTTCTACATGAGTATACTTTGTAGCATTTTGAAAGTTCTATTCATAGCAAAAAAAAAAATTTCTGGTCCCGCTAGATGCTGAGATGTGAGACTCAAAATAGGTCAAAAATGACCTATTCGAACTTTCACAAATTTGGTCTTGATTTGATTTCAGAGAACAAGCATTAAAATATAGAAAAATTTCAAATACATTGATGTATAGAATAAACAATTCTCTATCTTTTGAGATATTACTCGGCTCAGTGTGTTGAATCATTTCCGAGATATTATTGAAATACTAAAATTGATTGATATATGGATGTCTAACCCACTCCCTTGCAGTGTTTCATCTCTCATTTTTCAGGATTACATTCGATCGGGCTAAAATTTTGTTTTTATTGGTAATTTTGTTCGAGCTTTCTTTTGAAACCATAAAAAGGATATGTCAAAGTTTTTCTCATGACGAATATTGTCGATTAGGCCGTGGACTCTCTTAAAATATGTTTTTTAGTAAAAAAACGAAACTCAAAATTTCGAAAAACCAATTACTAATTCAGATTCCTCAACTGCGAAAACTTTTGGTCAAACTTTATAAAAAAAACCATCATTTTCGAGGAAATCATTATCCTCGAACTCATCGAGTCCCATTATCTCTTGTAAAAATATCCTTTATTTTATCTTTATCTTTGAAAAATAAAAGATAAATTTGTTTTTTCATTCCTTTATTCTTTATTTTTTAAGGACAAAAGGATTCATTTATCTTTATCCTTTATTATAAAGGATAGTAAAGATAAATAGTCACCCCTATACCAAACATGCAGCAAAGAACAACAAAATAAATAGTAAAGAATATTTTCAAAATATATTAAATAAATAAAATCTAATCTATAGAATTTAAAAAAGAAAATATAATCATTGAATAATAATGAAAAAATCGATATATTCAATTATTTTATATTTAATAATATTTATTTATAAATCAAAACAAGAAGAAAAACATATAATCTATGCTTTATTTGGTGATACATTTAAAAGTGATCTTATTTATTATGGATTTATCGATTTAGATAAATCCGAATACAATATAATAAGTACATTAAATATCGATGATATTGGAAATCCAAGAAATCGAAAATATGAAATATTACCATTAACATATGATCCTTCAAATGATATTATATTTATATCAGCTATTAATAATTTAAATAAAACAATATTAAGTGTTATTAATGCTACAACTGGTTCTCTTTTATATACATTTAATAAAATTCCTTATGAAATTATTTCTCTTCAATATGATATATTTAATAAAAAATTATTTGCACATACTGAAACTAATAATGAATATTTAACACAAATTGTAGAAATTGATACAAATAATGGAAATTTAAAACAAATTTTTGGACAAATATATGGAGTTGAACCAACTGATATATCAACTTATTGTCCAATTTGTAGAAAATATTTTTTGATTATGTTTGAAAATGATCATTATATATATGTTGAAGTTAATACTTCTGATGATGGAGGAATTAGTTCGAATGTATCATTAAATTTTTCTCCTTTTAATATTATATTTAATTATAAAACATTTACTATTTATTCAACTTATATTAATCAAACCGATAGAAATATTTTACAAATTGGAATTTTAAATAGAACATCAGGATGTATTAGTCAAGTTATTGAAACTATTTCTAATCCAACACATTTTGTACTTACTAAGTTTTCAACATTTGATATTGAAAATAATTTATATTATATATCAAATATTGTCACGCAACCTTTTTCAAGAGAAATTATTTATATTAATGTTAATACATCACAAACAATGAGAATTTCTTTACCAAACACAGATTACAATTTTTATGCTTGGTTTATTAAACAATTTGTTCAATAAAACAATTTTCTTTTTTTCTTTTCAATAACTAATATCGATCGATCTTTATTTTAAAGAAGATCCTACCGGATTTGATGACCTAGTTGGAACAAGAGCGTCCTGCATATGGTTTTCTAGAGAATTTTAAGATGCATCGAATGATATATAGGAGGTCAAATTTTCATGTCCCAAGAACATATACACTGGTTAGAATTCTATAGAAATATATATGGTACTCATAGATTCTGAAGGCCTTATGATGATCTAGGGTAAATTTACGTGAATTTCGGTTTTAAACATAATTCAATAGAGTTATGGATGCTCTTCAATTCTTTATAATCGATAGGTTTCACTGTAGCTCTCTTATAATTAAAAAGGGTCGTTTCCCACAGGTCTAGGATATTTATTGAACAAATGATATTCCAGCGTGCTCAATCCTGTGCCACGGGACAATTGAGTAACAATGTAAAACCTTCTCAAAAATTGCACATTACTGATCTCTACATATTTCATAGATCAAATCTTTCGAAACAACAGAGGCTGACTGGTAACTTGTAAAATAGCCTTTTTTCGTTAACTATGGTCCAGGGTGTGGGTGTAGGGTGTGGGTGTGGGTGTGGGGTCTGGGTGTGAGGGTGTGAGCGTGGGTGTAGGGTGTGGGTGTGGGGTCTGGGTGTGAGGATGTGAGCGTGGGTGTGGATGTAAGTGGTTGTGGGTGGGTGGATGTGATTCTATTTCTTTTGATACACCCACACCCAAACCCACACCCACCCCACACCCACACCCTACACTCACACCCACACCACACACCCACACCCACACCCACCCACACCCACACCCACACCCACCCACACCCACACCCACACCCTTCAGTATTTATAGTCAGATCATAGGCCTACTAAATCAAGGAATTCTGAACTCATGAAATATTTCCTTTCATAAGTTATACAGTTTACAATGAAGAAAATCTGCGCGTATTATTACTCTGTTACGTTTCGTGCAATTGGGCTGTCGATTTTGCTCCTGTGTTACATTAACTGAGACCTATATGCATACGTATGTTTAGAGCTGCAGCCAAGAGGAAAAATCTCATCTGGACATTCCGAGCCAAACGGATATGTTCAGTGTTTGTCTGCTACCGGGTCAAACGTCAACCGCAAGGGAGAAAAACCTACTCAAACATTTCAGTCCATTTGAATGGCTCGGAATAAGATTTTTCTCCCTTGTTCACATCCAAATGATACTTTTCCATACAACTAATTTGTTCATTATTAGCAAGGAGCAAAATTTCGGCATACTTTTTGAAATCTAATCAGATACTAAATGAAAATGTCTTATCATTGTTTTTTCTTTTCGTATCTACTTTTCTTCTGAAATTCAGCATACACAAAAAAGGTATTCTTATCTCTGTTTGTTAAAGATACTTTAGAATATCATTATTTTGTTGTTTGTGAGCATATATATGTATATATATATTTTAGTTTGGTGAAGACTTTAAATGATAAATTGAATTATTCCAACATATAATTGTATAATTTAAGCTGTGCAAAAAATTTATTACTAAATTAAAAAATGTCCGTTGAAAATAATTCAACTTTAAAAATAATGGCACTTGGCCGTCCATTCAAACTTGGAATGCTTTATGACTTTAGAACTGATAAACTTATTCATAATATATCATTATGGAATTCTGATCTATCTTCAGAATATATTCATCAACAACCTTTGTCATGGACAAGATCTGAACTTTATTTAAGTGATAAATTTACAGAAAAAGCAGATCTATTAGGAATTGATAACAATCTTAAATTGAGTATTCTAGCTAATCTTGTTGAATTATCTAGTTCAACATGTTTAATCGATGATCAAAAGAAAACAAATCAAACGTTACGATTTATTTTAAAATATTCAATGACAAAAAATCTTCATGAATTAACAATGAGTGATATCAATAAAATGTATAATAAACATCGAGAAGTATTCTATAAAGAAAATGCTACTCATATTGTTACCAGTATTCTTTATGGTCGTGAAATATTTTTCATATTTGATCGAATATTATCTAATGATGAAAATCGTATTGATATTGAAAATAATATTAAATTACTTTTGAAAAAATTCGATACATTTCAAATTTTTAATAATGGTGAATTAAATTGGAAAGATTATGAAAAACAACTAGCTAATACATTAACATGTCAATATTATGGTGATTTTCAATATGAATCAAATCCAATAACATTTGAACAAGCATTTAAACTATATAAACATTCATTAAATTTTGTTCTTCAAAATAATGATTATGGAATACCAAAACAAATATGGATATATCCAATTTATTTATTAGATCAATCATATTTAATAGGAAAAAAATCCTATCAAATTAATAATGATATTCTTACGGAATCTTTAGAACTTTTTGATAATTTATATCAATTGAAAATAACTTTAAATAATTTTAAAAATAATTTATCGTCTATTAAAATGTTCTATCGAACTGAAGAACAAATATCAACATATTTTACTCGAATATTTGAAATTGATATTTCTATGAGAAATCAAATGAAAGAATTATTACCAAAAATTCGTGATGGTTCTATGAAAGAAATAGATTTTACTAATCTATTAAAAAATGTTCATTTATCTTTATCCAACAAACAAAAATTAGATGAATTGATTCAATTTAAAACAGAAGAAATAAATCAATTAAAGAATTTTCAAAAAGATTTAAAAAAACAAAATAATATTCATCTATTAACATGTTCATTTGCTGAAGTTCAAAAAAATTTTACTAGTAAATTTATTCTTCGTTTAATTATTCATATTACAGAAAAAAATGATTCATTATTAAATGAAATATTTCAATATTTTGATGATAATATTAAAAAGTCATTAAATCAATATACAAAAAATAATTATTGGTTTAATGAAAATAATATTAAAATAATTAAAAAGCAAATTTCATCATTTATTCAATTTGCTGAAATCAATAGTTCTAAATCAAATATTGAATTTATTGCTAATGAAGAATATATCGATGAATTTCAAATGAAAAAAGGAGTAACATGTATTCTCTATAAAAATGGTATTCCAACTAATTTCGAAATTCCAAGTGAACCAGGACAACCATATGGGACAAATATTTCAGGTTGCAATTTAACACTTTGTTGGTCAAAACCTATCGATGGAAGTCAATATATTCAACAGTATAAGATTTATAGTAAAAATATTTCAAATGATACATGGAAATTATTGTTGACAACTGAAAATGCTACATTATTCGTCAATATTTCGGATCTTATTAATGGAAAATATCAATTCAAAATACAAGGAGTTACTAGAGTGGGTAATACAGTCAAAAGCAATGCCAGTGATGTTATTGGTTAGTATATATCTATTTTGTTTGTGTACAAACAATCATTTTTAAACATTTTACATTATTGAAGTTATCCTTTATGAAAATCTAAATTTAACCATCTCATTCATACATAGAGTTTCTCAGGTGCAAGGTGTTTATAGGACTTTTTCTTTACTTTAAGAGCAAAGCTGAGAATTCTAGACAACAGTCAAGCCAAAGTTTGATGAAAGTACTTCGACCACAGTGAGATAAGAGCAACGGTAACCTATGATATCAAAAATTAGAGAAGTTTAGAAGACACAGGCATACAGTCTTCAACCGTTAAAATTGCCATGAATTTCATTAAATTCAGTAAGGTTCTAAAAATATTCTCGGCTTTGAGCAGGCAAGCAATGTCATCTATAAAAAGAATATAGAACACTAGAGTGTCTCCGTGAATGTCGAAAATGCGATATATGCATCGAGAGAGAGAGGTTGAAGATCCATTAATTTTTTAAGGTATCTCTTGCAAACAATTAAGTTAGATAAGAGGTTAAGATTTACGCTTCACCATCTATTCATATTTATTAAAAGTTGTCACAATTATCAGAGTTCTTTCATAATTAAGACAAATTTCACAGTGCGTAAAAAATCACAAACTACAAGACACATTGATCTGCAAGGTTCATCGACATTTTCGCGGAAGATGTGGGTGAGTATGACTGTGAGTGTGAGTATCGATTTAGCTTTCTCTTCTCTCAGAATCACACCCACACCCCGTAGCATATCAGGTGGTGTTTGTAGCATTTCAAGTGCTATCTGTAGCATTCAGGATGGTGTCTATAGAATCCCAGAAGGTGTCAATAGCACGCCAGGAGATGTCTGTAGCATCATAGAAGATGTCTTTAGCGCCCCTCAAGGTATTTGTACCATCCAAAAAGCTTCCTATAGCATTCTAGGCGATGTCTGTAGGACCTGGAAGGCTAAGCGTAGTATGTTCAGTTATCCCTCTCAAAGCTACATGGAGTACATGTATTAAAATTGAAAGTAATGTTAACGATCCGACATTAATTAACTCTAATGCCATTAATGCTGGAACATTATTCTTAAGGGTGATGCAAAAGCATTAACACAAATGCTAACCTGGTACTCCCTATCCATACCCACCCTTCGCAGTTTAGTTCCATAGAAAGTACTTATACAACATTTTGCAATAATCTATAAAAATGTTTTAGAACTAAAGGCACCACAACCAACAAAGATTATTAACAAATCTACACCAATTGTTATGTCTAATGAGGTTTCCAATGATAAAGTTACTCTCGATGTAACACCTGCATGGTTCGAACCAGTGAAGTCTATTCCTAAAGAAAAAATTCGTTTTCCTGTTAAATACAATGAAAATTCTCCTACGGATGTACGTACGTACAATTGTTTGTCGACCTATCGCTCTATGGTGAAGAAAACATCAACAATTGACTTTATTACCGAACCCTTTTCATCTGCAGTCAATAATACTGAGACACTTGTAGTAGTTCTTAACGAACTTGCTGAACAACTTGGTGCTCATCTAACTTTTACTAATGCAGATTATAAATATAATGATAGTGATTATCGAACTGCATGTGGAGTGACAAATCTTGGTAGCATCCATTCATTTCTTGCTTCCGAAGGAAACTTTCAA